TAAATCGATCGACAATATAACTTTTACTTATATTAGTAATATATCTAAAAACAAATAAATTCAAAAGCTAGCTTACTAGGTACTCATTGCTAACTCGACCCGGATGAGTATGTACTCAACGGCAAGAGCTTTAGAAAATGTGGCGTATAAATATATGAATTTCGCTATTTTGCAAAATGCGTTGAGAATAGGATGTGCGTTGGAATTTTAATGGATCGTCATCGAACTAACAAAAAACGTATAGGAAACTTGCTGCTTCCAAGTCGTGCATATTCTTGGAAAACACTTAAAAATACGTCAAATAATATTCGGCAGGCTTCCTAATAAGCGCTTTAAAAAGGGAATGAAAACAATTTTCGATTATAAGCAAAGCTGCATCGTAACGATAAATTTCACGTCAAACAAGAAAATGTCAATCTGTTCGGTTCAAGCGTTTTGAAATGTTATCGTTAAGGCAGCTATGAAAATAAATTGTTTTTAACCGAAGTGAAAGGCTGTCATTAATGTTAAATAGTTAGCAGATAATGTTAAACATTAAATTTTAAGTGTGCTGTTTAGTCATACGCAGCTATTTTGATATGATTATTAACATGGCGCCGAAACGAAACGTAATCGTTTCGGTCAGTTTATTTTTCATATTAACAAAGCGCATTATTATAATTTTCACTACTTTTGTAACAAAAGCATAAATGATTCTGAAGACATTAAATGTTTCATGTTCTACGACCTGAATATTCATTAAGTTTCCATTTAAAGTGTTACCTAAAGCATTTAGAATTAATCAATTTACAGTTTGAAAGCTCACCAGTATGATCGCTGATAGTTTTATTATCTCTCTTATATTTTTCCCAATATATCTACCTATTTCCTTTAAGCTTTCCCAAAAGGCCTATATTTTTTTCTCTCAACTGTGTCGTAGCAAAATGCATAACTAAATAATCAAAATTCTTGAGACGCTGAAATTTCGAGATAATTTATCTAATCGCATATTTTTTAGTGCCTTTTCCTTTTAATTACATGCATTTTTATATATTTCTTCGAATGAAGTAAAAAAATTGAAATAAGCACAATATTATTTAAATAATTTATTTAGTTTGTGAAAACCGCTGAAAGCGCAACCAAAGAGCGCGCGCATAGCGATTGAAATCTCAAAAAAAAAAAAAAAAAAAAAAAGCAGCAAAGCCGGCTCATAAGCACGAGCATGTAAATAGTAAAAAGTAATTGCAAAGGTGAAAAAAGTTAAAGGAAAATTATTAAATATTATAAAAACTCAAAAATGGCTAGCGAGCAAATAATGACCATTTTTAATAAGCTTTATCGCATGCAAATTTTAGCGACGTTGACAGGTGAGCTTTACATGCTGAGGATCTATTATATTATATTAAAGGATTCCAAAGGCATACATATGTTCTTAAAAATATTAGTAAATATAATAAACATTTTTAAAAAAATCTATCTCATCAGAAATTTTCATTTAACTCATCTTATTATGAAGACAATAATGCTGCAACTATCCATAGCTACTTGGTAAATGAAAAGTTGTCATTGCTTGCCAATGTCGTTACGGACGGTTGTCCCGCAGACTCTCTGCGTTAAACCGTTTTAGATCATTGCTCGCTGTTATACAAGGTTGCCAGTATAGACTTTTTAAATGAATATGAAATAAACTAAGAAAATTCGCAGTTTTTCAAAAGATCTTGCATATTTAATTGCCGTTTATATTCGAACATATAAATTATGCACTTCATTGACGGTCGAGCCAACTTCGTCATATATGTATGCAGTGGACGATACTTGATATATATGTTATCAAAATTAAAGTAATTTCTTCCATTAGAAAATAAACCTAATTACGAGTTAAAAAAACACTATAACCGTTATATAACATATACATATGTATGTTATCTTTACATATATTTACCTATCAAAGAATTCGCGTTTTTTTAATGCCTAAAATTTCAACTCCAAAACTTATATCCCAAAGTTCATAAAACGAAACAATATAACATCTTTGTTTTAATTTTCAGACAACATTTATATGAATTACAGTTTTTTTTTTAGCAAATTTTTATCAACAAGAACCCACTGCTCTGAACCCTTCTACTCTATGAACCTTTATTGACGGTAATTTTTAAATTTGTTTAAAAGTATGCAAGCACAGTGGATAGCTCGCAACATTTCGTCACTGTTAGTAGCGTCCATAACTCGTACGGCTGTGAGGTATGCAGAACTGCAGTTCTATAATAAAAAATATATTAAAAAATTTAATAAATTTATTCGAGTTATTTCCTTTTTTTCATATCTAGCACATATAATCACTCTCTCCTGTGGTATTAGCGTTGGTTATATCCAACCCTATTAATACTGCAATCGCCTCAAACTCCGTTGAACCTTACTATTTCCGTCGATGACATGTCTTGGATTGGTTCTATCTTTTCTCTGGGTTCCCTTTGTAGCAATATATTTTTTGGACTCGTCGCAGATCGTTTTGGGCGGAAGACAAGACGTTTTGGCCTTGCCGCAGATGGTAAGTTGGAAATCGCTCAGCGGATACAAAGCGCCTATTATATACATAGGGGAATAACCTAATCACTGGTTTTTTACTGAAAATGTTGACTGCGTGTTTTTTCCAAAATTGTTAAAACTTTTTAAATATTCTATGATTGTCATTGCTTTTTCGCAGAGTTCTAATGTTTATGTGTTTAAGGGTCAATGTACTACAAACAATCAATCGGTGATAAAATTTTACGTAAAATAAAACTAACAAAATTCAAGCGGAATTTAGTTAGCTCTAATCTACAATAGTAGAGTGAATAAGATTCCCAAAATTTGTTGGTAGACCAAGTTTATAGACGACCAATTATTTCTAGGGTGTTGCTTTGTTTCAGAATACGGAATTTTACATATATGTCAATTTTTTAAGTTTGAACCAGCTGATAGACTAAAGAAATGATATACATAAAATAGCAAGCTTTTTAATAGAAATACGTTTCTTTAGAAATTATAAAACCAATTAAACTTTTCCGTTTTCTATACAGCTCTTTTGGGTTCTTAACTTCTTTGCGCAAAGTGTCGAGAATCTCTACGTATCGCGTTTCTGCGCGGGTCTAACCAGTGGTGGTCTTTATGTGATTGGACCTGTCTTCATCAGTGAGATATCAAATAATGCGTAAGTAGAATGAAAAAAAACATCTGCATAGTTTTTTACACACTTATATGTGTCTATGTATTCTTTGTTTTAAATAAAGATATTTTTATAAGCCGTCAATCTCAATAGTCAACAGCTTGAAGTATATAAAATCCCCAAGGTCTGCCTTTGGCAATATGTTATATTTTAACCGACTCACAACTGTATCTATTCTCTACTTTTCTTATTTTTAGAATACGCGGCGCTCTCACTTCGCTTTCTATGATGTTCCTCAGCTGTGGTATTCTTATCGGATACATACTGCCATCCTATCTCGATTACCATCTTATACCATGTCTCGTTATTGTTCTAACGGTAATTTATATCTTCGTATTAAGACTTTTCCCGGAGACGCCAACGAGTCTTTTGCAACGACAGCAGTTGGAGGAAGCAGAAAAGGCTTTTAATTTCTACAATGCAATAAATATGAAGAGCACACAGGACCCATATGCGAATAAGTTGCAATTCTCTTCAGCCAAAAGTGACTTTGAAGAGCTAAAATCGTCCAAAATACAAGGAGGAGAAAAATCGGCCATTTCACTTAGAGACTTTTGTAAGTAGATTAATGATTTCCAGCACTCTACTTACACACACATTAGGGTGTCCGCCATTTCCAAACATTAAATTTTGATAATATAACTCAATGTATTCAACACAATTTTATTAAGAAAATAAATGCAATCTCGAAAAAGTTCAAAAACGTCAAACAGTGCAGTCGCAGTATTGTTAACACCAACAATTTTACATCAGGGTCCTTACAGTGTAAATAAATTTGCATGCCCTAGTCTGAACAGTGCAGTGCAAAGACAGTTTAAAATTAATATTCACAAAATTATTTAAAATCGTGAAAAAAGTTTTTGTTTAACATTGCTTGAGAAAGTAACTACATTGAAGATTTAAGACATGAAAGGATAGAAAATACTACTTCAGAAGCATTAGTAATTTTATTTTATATTATTTTTTCGGATACTTTCTTTCAAGGTAATAAGTCAGCTTTGCAGAAGTTCGCCATTGCATTTGTTCTCATCGTACAGAATGAATTTTCTGGCAGCTTCGCTTTCGTCAATTATATGTCTCACATTTTTGCTGAATTCGGTTCAACGTTAGATCCAAAGCAGTGTACTATCTTTGCGGGCGTAGTGCAAATAATGGGTATACTCTTGGCATCCACTTTGGTAGAACGATTTGGACGTAAGACGCTAATGTTGACCTCAACCGCTGGTATGGCGCTGGGAATGTTCGCTTTCGTTGCTTTTGTACAATATACAGATGATGCAACAAAAGCCGAATATAATTGGGTTTCACTGGCGGCGATGGCGTTTGTTATGGCCACCGCATCGATTGGTGTAATCTCTTTAACATTTACCATAATTGTTGAAATATTAACGGCAAAGATGAGTGGACCAAGCATAATAAACGTTCATTGGTAGATATGCATATGGACAATTGAAAATTTGAGTTTCCAACTTTATTGTCTACAAAGTTTATTTATTTATTTATATTTTTTCGTTTAGATTCGTCCTCAAGCTCAGTCGATTGCAATGATGTTCTGTAGTATTATGGCTTCATCACTCTGAAGTTATATCCATACTTTCTATTCAACTTGGGAATATATACAACAATGTACTCCTGTGCAGGATCATGTGTGGTTACTGGAACCTATTTGCTTATATTCATGCCAGAGACGAAAGGCAAATCGATGTCTAAGGATTGGTTAGGTCTGTTCTGTTTCTGTTTTGCGTTCGAGTTGTGTGCCAACATCCCTGATTAAATTAAATTTATTAAATATTTGCTAAAAGGCTTGTGCTATTCTCTTCAACAAGTGTAATTATAGTCGTCATGTACGATTTTGCTGCTTTTGTTCAGTTCGCAGATGTTGAGACGAAAGGCCAATATAATTGGTTACCCTTCCTTTTCATGGTGATTGTAGTCTTCAATTCGTCTTTTGGAACTTTTGGGAATTTTCACACCATCGTTGTGGAGATATTACCAGTGAAGGTGATAGCATTGATCTACTATTTCTCAGTGAAACTAAGGGTAAGTTTACTTATTGAATTTTTGGCTTTGAAAGCGAATTACACATTGTGAATTTTGTACTTAAACGCATACATTTTTGAAAATTTATATATTTCATATTTTCCAGATTCGAATTGAAGCCTTTCTCGAAGATCTTTTCAACTCTTCTAGTGTTCCTCATTTTGAAGTTATACCCTTATTTCCTATTCGATTGTATACTTCATCGACGATATCTCTCTTACTGGTATTTATCCATACATATTTCTACCAGAAACGAAAGGTTGGTCAATGGACAAACATTAACTTATTTTGTGGAAAAACGAAACTTACAAATATAAAATTTTATAATTTATGAGAAGCAAGCATGTTAGTATAAGCTACAAACATATGCACATATGTATGTACATTCTCTGTAATAGTGCAGTACGAGGTCTGTTCAAAAGCAGAGTTGAATTTTTAATTTTCGCTGCTTTTTGCATTATATTATGGATTTTTTTTATGTTGGTATACATATGTGCATCAAATTTCCATTTGGGTGATTGCGTCTTGGTTTTGACGTCATAACCATATACATATGTTTCGGCACTAGTTATAATCCTTTCGAACAAATCTTGTTGGTTGTTAGCCAAGCGATACAAACTCTTTTTCAAAAGTCAACACCATCTGAACTGTAAAAGTAGTCAAGTTTTTATGTGACCTTCGGTTTTTGATATGAGTACCAAATTCAAAATTCCCAATCCACCTTTTTTAATAGACCTCGCAAAACCTATTTTTTTAATTTTTGAAAATATATTTCAACACTTCCTAATTTCCTAGGCCAATGGTATTTACATAAACGATGCCATTTCGCAGCCAGGTTATCGAAACGAAACGAAATTGTTAAAGTTGAAACCACACAAAACTCATCTAACATTTATTTAAAAATGGCTGGCTGCTATGACACACTTTTTAACGTTTAACATTATCTGTTAACGATTCAGCATTAACGACAGAATTTCGTTTCGGGTAAAAATGAATTGGAATTTATTTTGATAACAGCTTTAAGGATAACATTTCCCGATTGAAATTTTTCATTTTACGTGTAACTATTCGCAAAGGAGATGTTTCCTACCCCAAGATAGTACAATGCCTCATTGTATTAATTCTTCGTGAGTCTACCGCCATAAATTTAACGCATATTCGCTCTGTTCGGTGAAGAATGTCAGTAAAAATTAGCTGGCAAATTGCTTGATATTTTTGAATCCGTTCATTTATTTTTGGTTGGTTGTTTGTTTTCTGGTTTTAAGAAAATGGTGAGTTCTTAGACGTGTGGTTTTCAAGAAGAAATAAAAAGTTAATATCGGACAAAAGACCACCGCGGCTGGCTCGATAAATGGCACTTGCAACAATTGGGGTCATATGTTAGCAATAACCCAGTACATCAATTGTCTCGGTATTATCCGCGAAGCCAAGCGCTTTGTAACCGCTGAAGCGAGTGGCGACGACAATTAGAAAATTTAATTTAATTTTTTATTTAAATTAATTTTCCATAACTTTTGGATGTTGTTGGCACCGGGATATGAACCCGAGCATTAAGAATATCAGTACGCAATGCTAACCACTCGGCTACCGCGGCCGCCTTCACATAACCCACACAAATGGTTCAGCGTTGATAAATCACACGATCTTGGAGACCACGCCACAGGCCCACGACGCTTCGTTACGGTCTCAATGTTAAAGAAATATAGATCTTTTGCCCTTAAATCCCCCCGAACAGTGACTATTTGCGGATGTAATGGTGTCTTAGCAATGGCTAGTGGATTATCATCATTCCGAACGCCATAATTTTGTTTGTTCACTTACACATTCCACCAAAAGTGTGCTTCTTCGGATATTGGACGCAGCGGACGATATGTCGGGTGAACCGAAACATTATTTCATTAATAAATTTGCACGTTTTGCAAGTGTTGCTCTGCAGTAAGTCTGTTCATTATCATATGGAAAACTCACTTGAGTATAGATCTCGTAACCGTTGGTATTTATGACCAACTTCGAAAAAAGTTTTCTCACTAAAAATCTTACTTGTAAAAAACACCCTTCATTGTAATAAGATTTTAAAATTGATGGCAATTTTAATTTCGTAATTGTATTCAAAATCTATTGCAATATAATATGTATATAATTTGAGCTTTGTAACCATTGAAGCCATTTTCAGCCGAGCTCCTCCTATGATTTGTGGTTTTCCGTCTTGATGTTTTTCTAACAGTAGGCGGACTAGTCTGAATCCGAACAGCTTCTGGTTTATTATTAGGAGCCTTTTTTTCATGTCAGAAATACAGGGTCAGGAGGGGTTGACATTCCCTGCCGAGGGGTGATCGCAATTAGAAAATTTAACTTAATTTTATATTTAAATTAATTTTATATAACTTTTAGATGTAGGTCGTACCAGGCCTTCCGAATGGCAGTACGTAATGCTAACCACTCGGCTACCACGGCCGTAACAATGATATTATACTCCTATTTGCTTCAAAGCAGTGAAACCACAAAAATGCTATTAAATATGTTTTTCTGTTAGTCATTGAATAAAGGAAGATTTATGTACATATATAAAACTTTCTTTGCAGCAATTTGTGGCTTAGATTTTAAGGAAGAATGACTGGGATAAGAAAATAAGCTTAGAAGTATTTATTCGCAATAACCGACAATGTTAATTGAATATTATATAATTATTATATATTCAGCAAGTAAGTAAATTAAAGGGATTCAAGAGCAGGCTGCAAAAAATACTTTTGGAATTCTTGTGCAATGCCCATATTGGTGGCTACTATGACATACTGGGGTTGTTGTTGGTAATGACTTTTACAACTATTAAAATCATGTTTTACTAACATTTTGTTTTAAATTATAGAGAATATAGAATTTATTTATTTCCGCCAATTGCATTGTAACGTACAAAAAGTAAACTACGTTCGAAATGCATAATAGATAGAATTGGATAGAATCGAAAGTTTCGAAACGGATCGAAACGAAACATAACGCAAATTTTACGAACGATTGGAGTCAAAATACAGTAGATATTGCTGTTGTTTTTTTTTTGCTTTTTAGTTGACTTTTAAAACTGGCGTTATTATATACACAATCCGAAACGCAGTTGCATTAAAGTGAGAGAAAATGTCGATACTTCTCATTTTGGGGATAAACCGTATGCCAAATACTCAAAAGCCATTTTTGTTTATTATTTTTCTTATCTTTTTATATATGCTTTTCCTATCTACTTTACCTTGTTATAACTTTAATAAAATATTAAACTTTTGTTAACGGCTTCTTAGCGCCATTCAAAATATCAGTCGATTGTTTACAACAACAGCTGATCAAGCGAAAGCGAAAATCAGTAAAATGAGTACAGCGAATATTATAACCGGAAAAATTATCGTTAAACATTTAACGATCTGAAAATCGTTATAGAATCCCACAACAGTGCTGTGTAAATTTACACTTTATCACTTTATCTAGTATATTGCACATACAAATGTATGCAAGTATATTTGAACGTATATATGTTATTGCACTTCATCTGCAGTGCAACCTCGATATAATAGATCGGAAGGAAACAGGTAAATATACACTATATCACCTAATTCGTTGAACTAAGGTTTGTTGGGTTGAGCTTACGTTGGTCCAAAATTCGTTATAAAGAAATAAATAAAGTTTAATTTACCAACATTTCGTTCTCATGTTGTTATGGGGAACGATTTCTACTAACAAACTATAACACATTTGTATGTAATAATTGTATGTAATAATTGTATGTGTTTTAATATATTGAAACCCCACTTTTTTTTCTCACATTTATGCTCAAAATTAAATTCAGTAAATTTCTTAAAAGTAGGCATTTTAACGTTGATTCCAAAGAATTAAAGGTAAAGAGTCAATGTGGTTATAGAAGCTAAATCTGAATGCTGTTCATCCCTGTTTCCCTTTTTGAGAATTTATTTTGCTACAATTAAATCATTACAAGCATCTTCTCCGTCTCAATCCGCTAATGCATTAGTGATCGGGAACACAGATGTGACAATGTCAGCAGTTAGTTCTCCGCAGGTGGCTAAATCATTATCAAAGATAACGAAGTTCTTTTATTTCTTATGGTTAGACGCGTAACCTGTTGGCAGATTATTGACATTTCTTTTTTGATATTTGCTGTTTTTCTGTCATTACATTTATCGCCTTTGAATGATAAGGTTTTCTCAGGGAAACATTTATAGAAGAATCCAGCCCATGAATTAAAGATGTATTATGTTGCAGCTACTCATTTTACTTACCATCCGTCCATAACAGGTGCCGGCAAGAGCGAGATACATACACAATTGTTGTATAGCATCGAGAAATAAGCCGAGACGGTTTACCGGAAAAAATAAAATCGCCGTTGGTTTCTGCGGGGCAACCGTCACTAACGTCATATGCAAGCAGTGACTAATTTGTGTTTACATGGCGCTCTCATAAGATAGGTTGCTAAGGATGGAAGGTATGTGAGTTGGGTAGTTGCAGCATTAGTCACATAGGGTAAATTTAAATACTTTTTAAGAGACTTTGCACGGCATGTTCTCAACTTTTTATTATTTATAATATTATCTTTTTCTTTACAAGCGCATGTAACTCGAAAGCAGCGCCAGTTCCATATGAAACTTTTATTAGAAACTTTAGAAGTTTCTTGATATTGAAAAAAAATCATTTAACTAAGCAGCAGTTTAGGTTAACGATAAATAAAGAGACTAGGAAACATCAATTCTTTAAATATGAAATCTTATTTAATTTGTAAATTGTTTTGTAAAACAAACAAAAACATAACAAAATAATGAGTCATAAACAAAACAAAAATATGCGCCGATATACTATAGGGAAAGAAAAACGATCGTGAGAGCACAGTCTGCTAGAATAATGAAATGACAAATTACAGTATTTATGCTACTTTCCATCAAAAAACAATGAACAAAAGTACGTCGAAACCTGTGGCGACATGAATCACATAGGAACTATGAGATTAAGAGTCAAATATTGGTGGAAACTTTATGTAAAGATTTTAGGTTGACAAAATTCATCATTAAAGGAATTTATATTTTTTCTTGATAGTTTAAATTCATTTTAAAAATGTTGTTCGGAAAAAAATGTTCGCAATGTAAAGGTATATTTTACGATGACTCTTTTGGACATTTAAATTTGTAAAATCGCGAAGGTCTTTATATTGAGGTGCATTACATTAAGGTTGCACTGTATATGTTTACCCAAAACTTTATCACTCACTTGTCTCTATAACTTTAAATATGTACATATACATATGTATATACTCGCATATATGTATGCACGAGTATGTTATTGTACCAATAATTCTAAACATATAAACAACACTGTGTATATAATACAGCTGCTAATATTTAGTAAAATCAATATACACGAAGGAAATAAAGGATCGTTATAAAAGTGTCATCGAAAGAAGACGGCGGTTTTTTATTTTAATAAGTGATTACAGATGCGGCTACAATATATATGAATGTACATGGGGAAAGGGGATTAATTTAGAAGAATAAATATGTACATAAATATGTTTAAAATATGTGAAAATTATTGTTTGTTAAGAATCAGCAGAGGTAAGTGCTTTAGATCATTTCAGGAATTTTCAGTAAGCTATCCAGTTTGAACGCCCTTATATCCGAACGAAGTGCAGATACATATGTGAAGTATAATGTGGACATTTCCTAGTAAGGGGAGATAATATTAAGAAAATTTGATTTTTTATTATATTTTAAAATCTGTTCTGAACCGCTTACTTCATTGACATTTCGAGCCTTTTTACCGAGCACACCGGTATATATACATATGTTTTATATAAATATGTACATATGTATCTCAAAACTTTAAATGGGGTTTTCTCAAACCGCATTTTTTGACATCAGATTTAAACACTGAAACTGAAATTGTTTTTTAAAGCCGTTCAATCAGTCTTTTTCCACATAATCCAAATAACATTTCAAAGATGAACACGTCACTTAATTTAAACAATTGTTACAAACAACTAAGTGCACTTTTTTGCTCAAAAAACTAGTTTTTCCTTAAATGTTTGGCAATTACACTAAACTCAATGTTCTTTAAATTCCCACGTAGTTCTCCAGCTATTCTCTTGTAGATCAAGAAGAAAATTATTCTGTTTGAGATTAATGTGTGCCGCGAAGCTCTTCCAAAAGAACACATCAGGTAAATGTCATTTATGTCATTATAAGATTAATAACTTCCGAAATCGTTATAATTGTATTCTCTTTCTTTCCGCGTAGAAAATTTCTTGAAGACAGGTTTTTTTTACAGTGGTGTTAGTGCTTAATACATACTCTCACTATTACTTTGCTTACTACAATAAAATGATAAATCAAATTTTATGAAATAGGAAACGTGTTGTATGGAGCCCTTTATTAATAATTGGCTTTAGTCTTTAAACTTGGAATTTATTTATAAATCTAGTAGACTCTTCAGTATTGGTAAATGATATTTCACTGTCGCACATTGTATTTTATTTTATTAAAGCTGACTCTGCCGTGAATACCTAGCGATCATAATTGTTCAGTAGTCAAAAACATATTACTGACCAAAATGACGAAAGAGTTGTACGAATCAATCAATTTCTCAACACCGCAGTTACTGTGATACACTAAACATTTTTCTCGAACAGCTTTTATTTTTGAGTAATAAAAAAAAATCCAAGGCGTCTTCAATTGTATGCTTGAAATATGTGGTACGTCTACGTTATGAGACAGAAGAGCTGAAATGTACGTATTGCGCGAAAATAAATGAAAATCAAAATAAGTGGTAGAATCCCAATTATTCTTCTCCACAAAGAGCATAAATAAAACCACAAGAGAAAGGCTAAATGTACTAGTTACCGGACCATTAACTCTCTTCAACTTTATGCTCAGTTTTCTTTCATACTACTAATTATGTCAAATCATTTGATAACAATTTATGATCTTTAATTAATTGTAAATAGACTCAGATTAGCAATTTTTATAAATATTATTAGGTTTTCTTTAACTCACAATTGCAAAAGAAGTATTATTTCTCTAGTGAGTATACCACCATTTAAGAGTCATTTCAGAGCGAGAGGTGAGGATACATATAGATAAGAAGATATCCGTAAAGACGGAAAATAGTACCTCATCACGACCTTCAATAACAAAAGGAAATACAGTGTTAATGGTTGAGATATATTATAAACAAAAAAAATAGTTTTTTTTCTCAAATCCAATGTTATTTTAATATTTTTTCACTATGTTTCTTTTTCCGTTAAATATGATGTGGACCCAATATGTAATGAATCTCTAAAATTTTCCCTGTAAAAGTTCTTGAGGAAGAGACTATGTGATACTGCAATATTATATTACATTTTTGCTTTTTTATTATAAATTTTAAAAAAATTTTCAATGAAATATACCGTATGGCATAATGAAACAACACGACGTCCGACGATGATAGAGATATTTTTTCTATACATTTGCAGTTGCCGGACATGCTGTCCGTATATTGAAAGAATTTTCCAAAACAACGATTTTTTGTTATAAATTATCTGTTCTGCTATATTTATACAAATATTATAATGTAATAACAGTAACATTTACAATTAATTTTAAATCGTTTGCAGATAATGTTAACTGTTAAAGTTGAATTGTGCTGTTAAATCATAGCAGGCAGCCAATTCAATATTAACGTTACTGATGAGTTTGTGCAATTTCAACATGAACAATTTAATTTCGTTACATGACATACCAGCGAAACGAAACAAAACAATTTCGTTAAGTTTATTTTTCATATCAACAAACCGAAATGATATCTGTTTCGTTGGTTAAACATCTCTGTATTAACAAATAAAATTCAAAGGTCCTTTATTTGAAGAGAGTACCTATTAAAATTTTATTGGCTTGCTCCAAGTTGTGGTGGGCATCATACCAAAAATACAGTCGAAGGAGTTGACATTAAATTAATTTCTATAATTTTGAATGCCAGTTGGGTCAGTACTCCAGGCATTGACCTTCCGTAGGGTAGTACGCACTCGGTTATTGCGGCCGGAAAACAAACAACATTTCCGATTTAAAAACCCATCGGCTATTAGAGGTCGGTAACGAACTAAAAAGGTGAGAAAAGTTGTTTCATTATTCAATTATACGTATTTTCGATAGAAAAGCAGTGTCTGTTTGTACATTACTTTAATTACTACGCCGTATGCTCCTAAATGTTACAATTTATTTATTTATTGCAAGTGATTACACATGCATGTGCATATGTATGTAGGTGTGAAAGTGATGACTAAAATACTAAACATGCTAAATCAACAACACTTCTAACAGCAACAAGAATAAAATTGATAAGCAATAAATCGATCCACAATATAACTTTTACTTATATTAGTAATATATCTAAGAACAAACAAATTTTTAAGATAGATTTACAAGGTGCTCACTGCTAACTCGGCCCGTTTGAGTGCGTACTCAACGACAAGAGCTTTAAAAAAAGGCAATGACCGTAAGAGAAGTTGCTCGTGCCGCTACACTGGAAAAATTTTAACGAAAAATACATAACAGGGAACACTTTCTCTCTCTCCACAAATTATTAAAATTGTATGCATCCCAGTTTAGGGTTAATTTATATACAGTTTTTATCATACAATTTTATTTGTCAACGTCACGAAGTTGACATAGTGACTTACGCTGTTCCTAAGAAACCGTTATAAACAAATTTCTTTATTTTATATACATGCAATGTGTATGTGTGTGTATACAAATGGCTTACTAGTTTTAATCTAATCGCACAATAAACATCCTTGCACACGAGCTGTAAGGAATAATGAAGTAAAAAAAGAGTATTAAAAGTGAGCGAATCGATTGCTGGTGGCAAAATGCCAATAATGTTTTGTTATCTAATAAAAACAATATTTTAAATTACAATGAAGTGCAAAATAATAACAGGCAAGGTATGTATGTAAATATACATAAATTGTTTTAAATTATATGAATAAGATATAGACAGAACAATTTGTGTAGTTTTCTATAATACTATGGATGCCGGTGTACATATGTATATAGCTGATTAATATAACCCACTTTAGCCTAATGAATTAAAACCCTAGGAGTTAATTTGTGGATCGTTACTGAAAGCTGTATCGGAAACCTGGTGCTTCCAAGTCGTGCATGTTCTTGAAAAGCACTCCAAAGCACGTGAAATAATATTCGACAGGCTCTCTAAATGAAATAAAAATACTGGGTAAAAAGTAATATTCTTGACCGCCAGAATGCGCTGCTGCAGCAAAAAAGTTTATAGTGCCTTGTAATCCTTTCATATTTAGTTATATTTTAGTTTTGTTTTGAAAGCTGATTATTGTTGACGTGTTCGGCAACATATTGAGTATGGATAAAAACGATTTTCGTTCTCTCACACGCACACAAGCATGGCTAAACTCATTATGGTGGATGGGGAAACAATTGGACCCAAAGTAAAAAACTGTCATTAATGTAAAATCGTTAACAGATATTGTTAAACGTTAAAATTCAAGTGTTCAGTTAAATTATAGCAGTTTCAACATTAATGGCTTCATTTCGTTTCGATATCATTTTGCCGAAATGAAACATAATCGTCTCGATAAGTTTATTTTATATATTAATAAAGCGAAACGGCATCGTTTCGTTAGTTGAGCATCTCTGGTTATAATTTAGTAAGTGAAATATTATAATTTTCACTACTTTTATAATTAATGCGTAAATGATTTTGAAGCCATTAAATGTTTCATGCTCCGCCACCTAAATATTCATTAAGTTTCCATAAAAAGTGTTACCTGAAACATTTAGAATTAACCAACTTTCAGTTTAAAAACTCACCAGTATGATTGCTGATAGTTTTATTATCTCTATTAAGAATTTTCCCAATCTTTATACCTACTTCCTTTAACCTTACCCACAAGGCCCACATTTTTTTCTCTTAAGTGTATTGTGACGAAATTGGTTAACCAAATAATGAAAATGCTTGAGACGCTGAGTTTTTGAGAGATCCCACATGCGATTTATCTAATCGCATAATTCTAGTGTCTTTTCTTATTAACTACACATATATCTATAGATTTTTTAAAATGAAATAAATAAATTAAAATAAACACAATACTATTTAAATAATTTATTTTGTTTGTGACAACCGCTGAAAGCGCAACCAAAGAGCGCACTCACATCAATTGAAAAGTCGAAAAAACAGCAGAGGACCTTAGCCGCCACATACATATGTTAATAGTGGAAAGCGATTGCGAAAGTGAAGACAGTTAAAGGAAATTTATTAAAAATTACATAAACTCAAAAATGGTTAGCGAGCAAAGTTTAACGATTTTTAATAAGCGTTATCGCATGCAGATTTTAGTGACATTAACAGGTGAGCCTGATGTAGAAATTCTCAGCATTACATTAAAGCTAATTGTAAATATCCTAAAAAATTATTAAATCTAACCATAATTTATAATAAAATTTTGAATATATTCGAATAATTTTCTTTTTTTTTTATCTAGCACATATAATAACTCTCTCCCATGGTATTGGCATTGGTTGGTTGTCTCCAACCCTTTTAATACTGCAATCGCCGCAAACGCCGTTAGACTTTACTATTGCCGTCGATGACGTGTCTTGGATTGGTTCAATTTTTGGTCTGGGCTCACTTTGTAGCAATATATTTTTTGGACTCGTCGCAGATCGTTTTGGGAGGAAGACAAATATGTACCTTTTGGCCTTGCCGCACATGGTGAGTTGAAAGATTTTGTAGAGACACCAATCTTTGAGTATTCGAAAGTTCATTATGTCGTTAGTGGGATCGTAAATGAGTCCTCAATACGAGATACGGGAACAGGGAATATTCCTCACTAGTGTGAATACCTTTAAAATACCTTAAGAATTGAGATTACCAATTCATAAAATCTGTATAAACTAGATAGAGTTTAGTGTAATAACCAGATCACTTTTGTTGGAAATGTTGTTGTTATATTGGTTTAGCAGTTTTCGTCTCATTTTCAGAGGAAGCTTTGTTGTTTCAATATGAGTTTGCCTGTGTGAAGTGAAGAGTGAAGTGGTGCAATTTTTACTATTTTTCCACTAATTGAACTCCAGTTCCATCTGGAGAGTTTTTAATAATAGTTTAATGACAAAAGTGTTTCATATTACTGTTGTTTTACCAATAATTGATGAAAATACGTAATAACAGAATAAAATTAGTGGAAAAGTTAGTATTTAATTTTGCAAATGTACCTGTCCGGACAATGGAATGAGAATAAGAGTGTTTTTCCGAATCCGGACATATTGTTAGTTTAGCACTATATTTATTAATATTTATTTATATTAAAAATAATTTTAAAATGAGTGACTGTTTAAGCGATCGGCGTGAGCGCAGCGTCAGGTGCCTCTTATGGCATTGAGCAAGGACAATTTTTTTTGCAACGAGCCTAGTGCTCAACCCGCGCCCACCCGCTTAGAAAGAGGCAGTTCTAAGATAAACTAAAACTGAAGTTGGCGTTGAATGATATTCGGACAAAGACGATGGGTATTCGAAAAGTAGCAAGCACGAATGGCATTCCCAAGTGAACGATTATAGATCGGTTGGGAAGGTCGCTTTTGTTTTAGGTCCATAATCATTTTTAACAAGCGTCATCGCTAAGCAAAAATAACTAAATGACAAAAAAAAATATGCGCAAATGCAGTTTTCCTTTAAAAAAAATTTACGAACTTCTTAATACAGTACAAAAAATTGAAAGGGACAGAAAAAGAAAAACTCCATTTAGACATTTATTTTTAAAACGCAATATTTTTCTTGGCAAGCGTGAAACGGAAATGACAAGTAAGGGTGGAGCAGTTATTACTGAACAAGTTAAAAGGGATTGATTCTCGGAACTTTCATACCGAAAATAAATACGAGGACATTTTACGGAACCCAACTCGTGTTTTTATTAATGGCAATGAAACCAGTTTAGCGCTTTCTCCAAAAACTGGATACAGAAACGTATCCTGAGATAGATAAAATTACAAAATTTTTCGGTTCTTCCACCAACGGTAGCATCATTCCACCAATGGTGATATTTCCTTACCACGGACGAAGAAAAGACATAGTAAATGGCATACCTGAAAATTGGTTTCTCGTTCGTATATAGTGTTTGGAAGAAAAGAGAGACTTTCTTGAAATACACTGCGAACTGTGTATAGAGGTGGCTAGAAGAGAAAAATATAAAAAGGCAAGTAGTTCTATTTGTAGACGGGCATAAATTACATTTGACCATGGAGCTCAGCAATTTCTGCGACTTGAAAGGCATTATTTTGTACGTATGTGTTCTGCGAATTTGTACCTAGATACATAAATTTGTGCTTTGTTAAAGTATATTGAAATTAATGAAACATTTGGAAAGTGAATTTTCCGGTTACTGCAAATTCTGACTTGCATTAAAAAAACCATTTTCGTAATAAAAATTTAGATCTTTATATAAAAATGGTTGATATTATGAAATCCACAATTAGTCAATAGTGATTTGTAAATTCATGGTTTTTAATATCACTAACAGAATGTATCATAAAAGTGTTGAAAGAAAAAGACAAAAGAAATTAAGTGGCCGATTACTAGCATATTCACCCCATAATTTCTTATAGATTAACTTAAATTTTCTATGAGCGCCTTTGGCTGCAACTACCCATTTCACTCACCAGCCGTCCATAACTGGCGACGTCAAGGCGAAATAGATACACGAGTTATCGACGCTGCTGAGGGCGGCGAAATGTTGCCAGCTGCCAGTGTGTTTGCACACTTTTAAACAAATTCATAATTTTCGTCAACGAATTTCATAATTTATTTGCTTGAACATAAACACAAGGCAAATATACATGATCTATATGGTAACAAATAATTCGATTATTTAAAGTTACTTTAAGAAAGGCTATACTGGCAACCTTGTGTAGCAACGAAAAATGAGCCGAGCCGGTTTTACGGAAAAATCAAAACTTCGTTGGTTTCTGCGACACAAACGTCACCAACGCTATGGGAAAGCGGTGAAAACTTTGTGTTTACATGGCGCTCTCATAAGATAGGTTACTATGGACGGCTGGTACGCGCGTTGGGTAGTTGCAGCCTTTACCTTATGGTCATGTGTTAAAAGCTCATTGTACTCATACTACAGACAACCATTTGGTGATCAAATTATACGAAAAAGAAAGAAATTCAAAATTTGCTGTTCAAGCGGTTATTTTTTAGCTTCAATCTAGCCGAATAAATAAGCATTTTAAAATTTATTGATAGACCAAGTTTATAGACAACCAATTATTTCTAGTGTGTTGCTTTGTTTCAGAATACGGAATTTTACATATATGTACATTTTTTGAGTTTGAACCTGTTGATAGACTAAGAAAATGATATACATAAAATAGCTAGCTTTTTAATGGAAATACGTTTCTTTAGTAATTATAAAACCAATTAAACTTTACCGTTTTCTATACAGCTATTTTGGGTTCTTAACTTCTTTGCGCAAAGTGTCGAGTATCTCTATGTATCGCGTTTCTGCGCGGGTCTAACCAGTGGTGGTCTTTATGTGATTGGACCTGTCTTCATCAGTGAGATATCAAATAATGCGTAAGTAGAATGCAAATAAACATAATATTTTTAGAACAAATAAACATCTGCATAGTTTTTTACACACATATAAGTATATTCTTTGTTTTAAATGAAGTTACTTTTCATAAATTTCAATAGCCAGTAAATTCCCCATGTTTATATCTGTCTTTGACAACACGAGGTGTGTTCAAAAAATATCCCCATGTTTATATCTGTCTTTGACAATACGAGGTGTGTTCAAAAAATATCGCGTATTTTGTGTTTTTTTCAAAAATTATTTATTTATTCATGAATATCTATGTTGTCCCCTTCTAAGTAATCCCCATGGGATATTATACACCGCCAACGGTTTTTCCAATCTTCGAAGCACTTCAAAAAATCATTTTTTTTTATCTTGTTCAGCTCCTCCTTCGATGCCGTCTTTATCTTGTCAATCGTAGCGTAACGTCGTCCTTTCATGGGCCTCGTCAGTTTAGGGAACAAGAAAAAGTCACAGGGGGCCAGATCTGGGGAATACGGTGGTTGCGGCATCATTTGTGTGTTGGTTTTGGCCAAAAAGTGTGTGAGCAGGGGCGTTATCGTGGTGCAAAAGCCAATTTTTGTTCTTCCACAAATCCGGCCGTTTCTGGCAGATTGCTTGGCGCAAATTGCACATAACTAGCAGGTAATATTCCTCATTGACGGTTCTACCCTGTGGCAAGAACTCATGATGCACCACGCCCCTGCAATTACTTTTTTCGTCTGTTGTTGAAGTGCTCGGGCGTCCGGCACGCTCTTCGTCGTTCACATCTTCTCGGCCTTCTGAGAACATTTTGTACCACCGATAAACGTTGCTTCGGTCCAAGGTAGGTTCTCCGTATGCCACAGTCAACATTCGGAATGCATCCGTGCCTTTTAATTTCGTTTTTCACACAAAATTTGATACAGGTTCTTTGATCCATTTTTTTGAATAACTAAAAATCGAGGACCATACAAAACACGTGCAAGCAAATCAGCTGTCAATAATTAAGTGAGCATTTAAAATGGCCTAGCTTGTCGGCATAAGTGAGAGACATGAGTACTAAAATAACGCCACAAAAAAATCGATATTCTATTATACGTAACCCGCGAAAATTCAAAATTCGCGATACTTTTTGAACACACCTCGTATGCCATATATTAACCGACTCATAACTATCTCTACTCTCTACTTTTCTTATTTTTAGAATACGCGGCGCTCTCACTTCGCTTTCTATGATGTTTCTCAGCTGTGGTATTCTTATCGGATACATACTACCATCCTATCTCGATTACCATCTTATACCATGTCTCGTTATTGTTCTAACGGTAATTTATATCTTCGTATTAAGACTTTTCCCGGAGACGCCAACGAGTCTTTTGCAACGACAGCAGTTGGAGGAAGCAGAAAAAGCTTTTAATTTCTACAATGCAATAAATATGAAGAGCGCGCAGGAACCATATGCGAATAAGTTGCAATTCTCTTCAGCCAAAAGTGACTTTGAAGAGCTAAAATCGTCCAAAATTCAAGGAGGAGAAAAATCGGCCATTACACTTAGAGACTTTTGTAAGTAGATTAATGATTCCCACCAATGTACATGTATATTAGGGTGTGTGCCATTTCTTAACATTAAATTTTGTATTCAACACAATTTTATTAAGGAGATAAATGTAATCTAGAAAAAGTTCAAAAACGCCAAACAGTGCAGTCGCATTGTGAACACTCAAAATTTTAGATAGACCTCCTTACAGTGGGACCCAATTTGCAAAGCTAGTGATGCAACATTTGAAATTGAAAATCAAAAGTTAAAACATCGATGGTTTCTTTTTTTTTTTTGTTTGGCATGAAAGTAGACATTGTTCAGATCAATACCATTCAATTCCGGTCATAAAAAATCATTAATCGTCTCTCGATAGCACAATCCACACATTTTTAAAAAACTAAAGTCCGATGACCCTGCGGGACCATAAACCGCACCAAGTTACGCATTAAATATTGGGTTTTCCAAGCCCCCGATCCTACAGTTTTGCTGATTGACGTAGTCCTCAGTCCCTCATCAGATGATTTATCGATGAAATTTTTATAATGTGCTGTTGAAGCGTGTATTGTTCTATGTTTTTTACATCTAGTGTTTACTTGTCATTCCATTCCAGCCCCAAACGTGACATTTATCGGAATAGCGGACTATTCAAAGTAACACCTCTTATTAGAAAAGGTTTATATTTTGTACATATACATGTATGTAATCATGTCTCTAATCTATTTGTATACCGTGTGTGTATTGATAGCGCCAAACAGCGAAAAGTTGTTCATACTAAATTAAGAGAGAACAAACATATATAACCTCATATTCATCGTATTTTAAAAAAGTGCATTACAAAAAAGAAGTAAAAAAGACATTAATATTTTTTTTTGATTATGATTTCGTTTTTTCGAACACCGCCGGAACGGTTGTGCTCGCACTAGTGAGACATCACTGTATTAGTCACTCAGTGTAGCCGTACCATATACATACGTATGTATATTGCGACCAAATATGATTTAGCAGTAGTTTGGCTTAGATCCTTTAGTCATTATAGAAAGAATGAAACGAAGCCTAAAATTATCTTAGGCAGGCAAAATATAAAATATGAAATGTTTAAAAAAAGACAAATACAACGTTAAATTCATATACCGAAAATAACATAAATTAGTTGATAACAAAAGAGGTTATCCAAAATAAGCAGAGATATATTTTCGCATTTAGTACGGAGAACAACATTCTTTGCCAAATATATCATCTCCTTACTACAGATATACTTAAATTAATTTACTTTCAGTGACCAATAAGGAATAACTCTATCTAATTATACGCATAAAGTGACTCACAGCCAAAGTGATGCAGCTCCGTAAGAAATAGTATACGTTTTATTTAAAAATTAAATGAATTTTCTAAAAAACAAACATCACTATTAAATTGTACCTAACAGCGAAAGTGATGCAGTAACAAAAAAATTTATAAAGGTTATTTCTCTTAAAGAACAAAACTAAAATTGTATGCTAATTAATATTAAGTAGTATACCCCTTGCTGTCTATGACTGCTTTCATACATTTGGGCACGGATTCGCCTAACTTCTTGGTGTAGTCATGAGTTGTTCCATTCTGTTTGTAGGTTTATTTTAAGCCCGCTTGATTTCGAGTCTCATATTTTCGAATCGGTCATTCCAATACTGACCACAGATTCTCAATCACATTCAAATCTGGAGACTGCGCAGTTCCAAATAAGCCAACTTTGCACAACGTCTGATTTGTGTTTCGGATCGTTATCTTGACACTACCGAAACTTGTCACAAATATTTAATTTTGAAGCATCTTGCAACAAATTTCTTTTTAAAATGTCCAAATATACATTCTTATCCATAGTACTATTAATGAAATCCAAATTTCCAACTCCAGATTGCCCTCTTACAATTACATGCCCTCCACCATCTTTTACACTACTACGTAAATTTTGCGGTTGTAATGCAGAATTTGGTTCTCTCCATCTCATCTGAATAAGTTGAATTTATTTTAGTCCGCAAAAATTATGGAGTCCCAGAAACTTTCATCTCTATACAAATGCTTCTTTGCCAACCGTACGATCCATCGCCGACTTTGCCATCTTCATAATGTTTTAAGATTAATTCGCGCACTTTAATTCTTGTTTGGCGTTCCATTTTGATCTACCCTCAACCAATGTCAATACTATAATGTCAAAATTATCTCATACTACACTAAGTTTGCTCGCAATTATAGCGGTATTTATTAAGCATTCAAAAATCGTCGACAAGACACCGCCACTAACGATAAATCTTTGGGCATCATTTTCGCTGTGAGGTATAATTTAATACTGAAAATTGTTTTGTTGAAAATTACATAAAATAAAAATCAAACATAAAATTTTGAAGGCATCAATGAAATTTGTATATCTACGGCTATTAACTGGCATTCGTGTTTTTGGGATATTTATTTAAATTTAAATAAAACTTATTATACTATTTTAAAAAGAATACAAGATGAGCAGGGGCCAACTATTTCGTTTGGATCCAATTAAAATTATTTGTACTCTGGGTCCAGATAACGATCTTTTTGAAAAAAAATTATTTAAGGTTTCGGTTCAGTTCGTTGAACTTTTGTCCGCAGATATTTTTAAACTATTATAAATCATTAGCCCCAATTTAATAGTCCAACTGTGGCGTCGCAGCTTACATATGCTTTCTTATTTTCTTGCTGTCAAAAGCATTTATTGATTTTAAATGCCCTGAATAGTATCATATTTTGTGTGCCAGCTCACTGTCCTTCGACGAGTGCCACTAATTGTTATGCAATGTTTAGTACGTAGCCATTCGAAATAGTGCCCACATTAGGATCAAACTGGACGATTTCCATGCTTTTTATAGACATTTCCGACAATTGACCCTGCGCACCGTAAATCATCTTCAACATAAAATTACAGGAACGAAGTTGTCGAAAAAAATATGTGTATGATTGACTGTTAGAGTATCAGGGCCATAAACAATATTCCCCCTCTCAGCTGTCTGACTTGTGGTCAAACACTGCTGAGTCTAGCTTTGAAAATTATATATTGCACAAATAATGGATAACGGCGAAGGGATTTTCCTGAAGTGCTTTTATTTCATCTCAGAAATACACTCGAAGAGCCTGACATGCCCCGCCATTTTTGGGGATCAATCATCTTTGCGGTTGTACATTTAAACAAGTTTCATGATTCTCTTTAATGGGTTTAACAAGAAAGTGGATAGTATCCGAACAAATTTTAGAAGTCTCTTTCCTATAACTAAGACACTTTTCCATTACTAATATCAACTAATGTTTCTTATTTATTCTCTCTTTCAAGGCAACAAATCAGCTTTGCAGAAGTTCGCCATCGCATTTGTTCTCTGCATACAGAATCAATTTTCTAGCAGCTTTGCTTTCGTCAATTATATGTCTCACATTTTTGCTGAATCCGGTTCAACGTTAGATCCAAAGCAGTGTACTATCTTTGCGGGCGTAGTGCAAATAATGGGTACACTGTTGGCATCCACTTTGGTAGAACGATTTGGTCGTAAGACGCTAATGTTGACCTCAACCGCTGGTATGGCGCTGGGAATGTTCGCTTTCGGTGCTTTTGTTCAATTTACCGATGATGCAACAAAAGCCGAATATAATTGGGTTCCACTGGCGGCGATGGCGTTTGTTATGGCCACCGCATCGATTGGTGTAATCTCTTTAACATTTACCATAATTGTTGAAATATTACCGGCAAAGGTGAGTGGACCAAGCTAATATAAGCTCATTGATAGATATGCATATGGTTAATTACAACGTTTATTAATTTATTTATGTTTTTTCGTTTAGATTCGTCCTCAAGCTCAGTCGATTGCAATGATGTTCTGTAGTATTATGGTCTTCATCACTCTGAAGTTATATCCATACTTTCTATTCAACTTGGGAATATATACAACAATGTACTCCTGTGCTGGCTCATGTGTGGTTACTGGAACCTATTTGCTTATATTCATGCCAGAGACGAAAGGCAAATCGATGGCTAAAGATTAATTAGTTCTGCTGTTTATGTTTTGCGTACGAACGGTGTGAGAATATCCCTGATAAGATTAAAGTTTTACATTTAGTAAAATAGCTTAAAGTCGCTTATAAGAATTTAATATACCTCATCTATGACATTTTTTTAGCTAGAGCGAATAATGGTTATCACAGACTTTTTTTGTGAAATTTTCTTGTATCTAAGGTCTTCTAAATTTAATTTATTATAAAAAAATTATTGTAAACTACGAAGGAACATTGTATGTAAATACAGCCCTAATATATCAAGATTTTTATCAAGCAAGAATTCGTTTGGTATTCTGTGTCAATCTTGATAAAACAAAAAGCTTCAGTTTGTTGTGCTTTTCCCCACACGTGTAGTGAACAATGAAATAACAGAAACCAGCTGTTTTCCTAAAATTACTTCTTTTAGAATAAAAGAAAAATAAATAAACAAATATGTATAGTTGAATTACATAGTTGTAGTTGTAGTATATCTGGAAAGTCAAATGAGATAATGTTTACATTTTGATTATTTAATAACTCTGTGGTCGTAGGTCTTTCACCTTCACGTATATACCATTTAGTTTGTTGTACTTTAATTTTTTAGACGATTAGGTTCTTCAACTGGCATTAGAAGGCATTAGAGGATAACCTTGATCGCCAATAAGGCAATACGAGTATTCTTTCTGCTGTTGCACAGGCATATTAGTGTGTTGACGAATGAGATGCTCGCGTAGGTCGCAAGTTGCCCGAATTCCAGTGACATGTGTTGCCCCTGAAATTTCGCGTTAAGAAAAGTGAAACATAAAAGCAAACTTGAGAGACAAAACTCTTATAAATTGCATTGGCTCACACATACAACAAACCTTACTTCTTCGACTTGGAACCCTTTTCTATTTAAATATAAATTTAGAAGCCTTCAATATTATTTGATGATGCAGCCACAACAGCAATAAGCGTCCAGTAAATTGCTCCTGCTGTGCTTTTTATGCAGAATTTTCTAAAAAAAACTGGAATACATTAGAGATAAATTAGCCTTTTATTTGTTTGCGTTAACATACCCTTTTTTACATTAGTTTCTTTCCCTGCAGAACTGGAACAGTTTACTTCTCTTCTCTTCATCTTTACAATAAGCAAACTTCTGGAAAGAAAAGGCTGACTTAAGAGCAAGTTAAAGTTGTTGACTACAAATTTTTGGTACGCGCCATACTCAACGCAGTTTAAAGCCATCAGCCGTTTATGATCAAAGACTGTGAGATTTTTCGGACATCATGTGGTGCCAGTTCATCTATGAAAAAGTGAAACAAAAATTTTGCCGGAAATGTGTTATCAGTTGATGAAAATGGATAACTAGCGCCTTAAGTGACGCTAGCGATCGCTACTTCGCAATTTTCTTTCCCCTCCGCCCCAACAACAACAATATAAGTAAAATACGTATTTTACAATTTCATATAATTTATTATTCACAACTATGCATAAAGAGGAAAAAGATGGTTTATTTGTAAAAAAAAAAAAAAACACCGTCAAGAGCATTTGACTTCTTGACAATTTATCAAGAAAATAGTTTTTTTATTTATGACACAGAATAGAAAAATCTCGATAAATTGTCAACCTTAATAAATTAACCATATGGTGAATTTATCAAGTGCGCGGAATAGGCCTGAAAGTTAATTTAAAAAAAAAAAAAAAAATAGTATAACAATTACCGTTGCACATATTAACAAACTAAATGGGCCAGATAACAATATTAAAAAAAAATCTTTCGGTCGGAAGCTGGTATGAATCAAATTTTAAAGAATTAACCTATGTTCTCATCATTATCATTTCTTTTTGTAGGAAATGTTCGAGAAACACTTAGCGTTTAATTGTCATCTTTTTAAATCTATTGTATTTCATTTACTTTATTTTTAAATAATTAGAGCCGTAAATATATATTCACTGTTACTATTTACTTATAGTTTAATTAGATAATAAACAAATGTAAGTTGAAATATAAATAATACGAATTTATGTCAGCAAAACCTTTTCGCTTTTCAAATACAAAATATGGCTTTATCACGAAGTGTTTATTGTTTTGTTCATAAAAAGTTTATGAACTTGTTTTTACATTTATATGAGATAGATAAAAGCAAATGCCAAAGTTATAAAAATGCATCTCAAACAATTACTTTTTCTTTTATTGCTGTGGAATGAACAGCTGCTCTGTTGACATACTTCCAGTCTTGGAAATGAAACAAATTAAAATGAGAAGAAAGTGTAATATGCGGTCATGTCGAACTTTTTATACCTTTCATGTATGTACGAATGTGTATGTAGTATTTTGTACAAGATTTATTGTTCTACTAGTGGCAATTATTACAAGAAATCACAGATCTGTAGAGTTTTATGGGAACTACGTATGTATATGTGTTATAGTCGTACGATTATAAAGATATTTAGAACCAATGTTTTCTGTCTTTAGATGCTTAATTTTGTGAAATGTGTAGCAAAGTTAGAGTTTCGTGAACGCTACAAATGATGACGTCACAAAAGTACACTGAGAGGCTAATTTGCTTTCAAACAGTCTGATAAACTGAGCTCAGCTCGGTATAAATTCGATATAATTTTAGATGCTTCTTCTGGTACATATACATATATTGGATGAGTGCATAAGTTCGTGCCCGATTTCAAGTGCAAACTAAAATTGAAATTTTTTGAAGAAAGCGCTTTTATTAATCAATTATGTATTCGCCATCAAGTTCGGCAATCCACTCCCAACGTTCAACCAATTTACGGATGCCTGATTCATAGAAATCGAGCGGTTTCTCGTTGAAAAAGGTGTCAAGGTGGTTTTTGACGTCTTCCACATTTTTAAATTTTTTTCCATTCAAATTGTTCTGCAGCGATCGAAACAAATGATAATCAGAAGGTGCAATGTCGGGTGAATATGGGGGATTCGGCATGATTTCCCAATTCATCTCCTTCAGTTTGGCCAGGTTCGGTTTTGCAACATGTGGCCTGGCGTTGTCATGATGGAAAAGAACTCCTTTGCGATTGGCCAAAATCGGACGTTTTTCATCAATTGCTTTCTTCAATTTGACCAATTGCTGACAATACCTGTTGGCAGTGATCGTTTCTCCTGCTGGCAAGAGCTCAAAATATATCACGCCTCGGATATCCGACCAAATGCACGACATCGGTTCCGCCCCTAAGTGTGCCTGTTTCCATGTTCTTTTGCGTTGAACATTGTTGTACAGGATCCATTTTCCATCACCAGTCACGAGCCGATCCAAAAAAGTTTCGTTTTTGATCCGTCGAAGCAAAGAAATTGCTGTTGACATACGGTCCACTTTGTTTTTTTCACTCAACTGATGTGGCACCCATGTATCGAGCTACAAAGTGTACCCAACCTTTTTTAAACGACGAAACGCAGTTGATTTGTTGACGTTCAATTCACTGGCAACCTCTTCCGTCGAAATACGTGAGTTAATCGCAACTAAAGTCCTTAGAACATCGACATCAAGCTCAGAAGGCCGTCCACTGCGAGGTTGATCTTCGAGGTTAAAATCTTCAGAACGAAATTTCGCGAACCATTTCTTTACTGTGCGGAGTGCTGGAGCAAGGTCTAAATAAGCATTGCGAATATCTTTAGTTGCAGCGCCTACTGTTTTTCTTTTGCGGAATTCGTATAACATAATATGACGCATATGATCTTTTTTGTTGTCCATCTTCCATGCGTCTTTTCACTAAGCAACTCAAATCAAAATGAAATTATTTCATGCTTGATTTACAGTTCGGACTGTCACCTTTCCAACGATATATATTTCTTTCCCGAGCGCCACTCTCAAACGATTCGAACGGCATCCAGCGGAATTGGGCACGAATTTATGCAGTCATCCAATATATATATCAAATCGTAGTTAATATACCGTTTCAACTTCATGAATTTTTTGCTTAAAAGCGCTAATTACGCACATACATATTATATTTGTATTATTTTACACTCGTCAGTGCATACATATCTACATAAATACCCCAACTTTGTAGGTCGCTTCGTAGAGTGAATTAAATCATTTCCTTTGTTCCATATGAATTTTCAAATTTTGCTCTCTTGCTCCCCAAATGTAAAATATACCCTTTTCATATCTATTGGAATTAGTGCATTTAGTGCCTCAAAGGACGGTTTTCCAACTTTTACTTAATCTGTGTCAAGACTCCGACGACAAGGATGGAGTGAAATTATTGGAGGGCTTCGAAAGCTACAGACTGTTTAGGGGCTTTTCATTAGTACTCCTTTGCTGTTATTTTTATGGGTACATCCCATACCTTCGACGAATTGGCAAGAACGGGAACAGTCTTAACCAGTCTGCACAGCTAAGACTAAGCTCCCCTAGAAGAACAAAAAGCAGATGGCAGATCGAAGTCACTTTCAATTTGAAGATACAAATCTGTCCACCAATAATCGAGGTAAATATAACTAATTTTCTATTCCTTCTAAACGGGACCTGCATACTTCTAACAGCCGTCGACCGGGTACTCATGGTAGAAGCATGCGCTGCTTCCCAAATGACTTTTCGAGCATCTGGAAAAGTGAAATTAATCTCTTTAGCAGGACCAGCCTAAGTGCACTTTATCGGCTTTCCGTGATCAAGCAACCTGTTTAACTGATATGATTTGGGAAAGTACATACAATGTAGACCAATAAGCCTACTACCCAATCTTTTCAAATTATTTGAAAAAATTCTGCAATCAAAAATATCTCCTTTTCTCCACCGTAACATTGTGATACCAGATCACCAACTCGGCTTTCGTGAAAAGCATAGTACTATTGAACAAGTTAACCGAGTAACTAATGAAATCAGAAAGGCATTCGAGCTCAAGGAGTACTGTTGTGCAATCTTTCTTGACGTAGCACAAGCGTTCGACAAAGTCTGGCGTAAAGGACAAAATACATAAAGCTCCGCCTGACTAACAGACAATTTATCATTAAACAATCTGAATTTATCAGTGAGGAGTATCCGGTAAAAGCTGGTGTTCCACAGGGTAGCGTCCTTGGGCCTATTTTATATATCATATACACTGCAGACATCCCATTAAACCGAAAAGTGCAGACATCTACCTTTGTGGATGACACAACTATTTTATGCCGAGATAAATACCCTAAGAGAGCAGCAAAAACGATTAGTGATCATTTAGTCCTCATTGAAGACACGTTACATTTACTTTAAGACCACAATCATGTCCTGCAATTCGCTTAAATGGTATAAACATCCCCCAAGTAAATGATGTTACATATTTCCGTATACACTTAGATAGACGTCTCACTTGTAAGAGACTCCGGGTTAAATCTAGACTACAAAGTCTTCATTTACAACGCAGAACTATAACTAATTCGGATGTATGGTATTCAACTGTGGGGTACGACCTGTGCCACTAATATTGATAAAATACTAAGGTTCTAATCCAAAACTTTAACGGGCGCACCATGGTACGTTCGTAACGTAAATATTCATAAAGACCTTGGTATTTTGTTGCTTAAGCCTGAAATTGAAAGAAGAAGGACGAAGTACTTCACAGAGCTGAGAAATCATCCAAATCCGCTAGCTAATGCTTTATGCAACCCATCGAGATATTTCCGCCTGCAGCGAAGAGATGTTCCCGCCTTCTAAAGAGGCGCCGCAGTTTGAAAAGAGCTCAGAGTTAAATAACTCCAGCTATCATGTTTGTACATTAGTTTTTAAGATTTGTACACTTACTGTTAGGCTTATATTGTAGCAGATCCAGTAAATAAATGAATTGTGTATAAAAAAAAATATAATTAATTTATTTGTTGATTGCTTCACAATGTACATAGATAACGTGATTACACGCGTACTCGTTGTTAAACCCAAAGTTTATTTCATGATTTTCGGCTAATCGCTCACAAAAACGAAAAGAAAATAGTCAAGTTTGAGCTAATCGCTCAAAAAACGAAAAGAAAATTTAGTAGTCATAGTAATAATAATAAATATCCAAAAAATTCAAAATAAAACTTCTTATGTTACATAGTTTCCCGTCTAATTTCAACTTCTGCTTCTTCTATATTTGCGTAGGCAACTCTTACGCGATTTTAGCCAAATCAATATTAGCGCGCCACTCATTTCTTCTTTTCGCTGTCTGAATATACCAAGGAGTGTCAAAGCTGAAGTGATTTTGTCAACTCGGACAACATGACCTAGCAGGCGTAGCCCCTGAATATGCCGAGTTGATGATGACTGCTCTAGTAGAGCAGTAGTGCAAGTCGAGTCTGTTGTGATTGCAGCTTTTCATCGTTGAACCTTCCTTATCTTCGCTGCGACAAGATAGTGATCCGATTTTATGTTAGGACCATGGAACATACGCACATCTAAAACACATACATATCTTCCCTCCATCACAACATGATCTATTTGGTAGACAGTTTTTCGATCTGGTGACAGCTAAGTAGCTAGGTGAATTTTCTTGTGTTGGAATCTGATGCACTTACGAAGTCGTCCAGCCTTTAGTTTTATGAGGCCATCATAGTCTAGCCTTTCATTGGATTTTATTTTTCATGTAGTGGACTTCAAAAGCTGCGCACAACAGCATGGAATTCGCTTTCTCACTTTAGCTCGCCTTCAAACGGGTATTCGTTGACTACCCCGGAAGTCGTGAGCTGTTTGAACCATATGCAAAAAAAACGTTTCTGAAATTTAATGCTTTGAATTCGAATAACAAATGTTCATCGCTTTCAATTTAAATATATTCGTTTGGAAAAACACTTGGAAAAGTTACCGATAAAGCAGTTATCAAAATATATTTTATTTTTATTTTACTTGACACAAAAATGTTCTGTTAAATCATAACAGGCAGCCTTTTAAAATTGACCATGGCGCTGAAACGAAACTTATTCAATTCGGTAAGATTCTTTTCCATATGAACAAATCGAAATGGCATCGTTTCGTTTGTTCAGCATCTCTGATAAAAGGTCATATTCAACTTCGTCTTTTTGTAATGCGCATTTTAATTAAATCTGTCTTGAAATTCTTCGTTTCTAGAAAAAGTAAATCCGGCTTACTATCAAAGTCCATTCCTATTTATTATATTATTTATTTATTTCTAGAGTAAGGCTAGGTTGATTGATGTGCCTAATTGGTTATTGATCTGCTGAAAATTGTCTAGTAAATATTAAGTTTCTGAAAATATCTTTATAATTATTTATTGATATGAAACTTGAAATGGTTAAGTAATGCTCTCCACAGACCTTTTTCGCAAGATCCTATTTTACTAGCTTCGGGCATCCAACAATACATTTTATTATTATTTTTCAAATAAATAAAATAATAATAATAAAAACAATATATGTTAAGCTGTCCTGAAAAAAGATTCGAGGTATTTTCTATAAAAAAAAAAACAAATTAAGTAAATCTGCACTACGTTATCGCTATACTGGGCAAAACAAGCCTATTCTATCGAGGTATTCAAATTTACTTTGGTATTAAAATTCACCATTCAGTTAATTTTGTTACGAAATAGGACGAAGAATCAGCTGTTTTTGAGATTTTGTGTGGTGAATTTGAAAAAATCAAAATGTGTAGACTTATTTAACTTCCAAAAATAATTGGAAATGAAGAAAAAAATGTAAAGAGGTGACTGTTAAGAAGTTTGCGAGAAAAAATTTACTCTTTTAATTTGGAAAATATCGTTTTCATTCAGCTTTTTTTTTTGTCGTCCCGACTTATTTTTCATCACTAGATTCAAATATTTATAATTTAATAAACAAAAAAGTAAAACCTATTTATGCGCACCATCTTCCTTTTCGAAGTGAATATTCTTCTTTTTACTGTACCAACTGGAAAAGGTAATTTGACATGGTCGAAAAAACAGTGCTGCCAAAGTTTTGTCAAACAATGTAACCTGTGCGCTAGAATAACAAATTCAATTTCGGGTGTTAAAAAAGGTAACAAAATTTACTTCATCGGTAAGAGTGAGAATGGGACTGGAAATCAAAAAGTCGTTGGGGACTATTTTTCTTATTTTAAATAAAAACTGATTAAGAAACTAAATAAGAAAAACTATACATGTACTTAATATAGTTGCAGTCATGTGCATCAAGTGCAGTAATAAATTATTCAGATTTTCGCCTTTTTCTTATACATTTATTTTTTTAATATTGAAAAATATTTCCTAAAGCGACAGGAACTAGATGTTTTTCTTTTGCTCTTCTGAAAAGTTACTGAAAACACATGCATATTCAATTGTCTTTTTTGGCGTACTGTTATTGTGTGTTTACTTAAGTTAACAAAGGTGTTTAAGGTTATATACCCATATTTTTAATAGCAGCATCTGTATTATAGCAGCACAGACAAAAGAGTCGATTGTTTAATTGTTATTTTCTATCATAAAAATTTGCCTAGAACAAGGAATATATTTATGTACATATCTACTACATACACAGGTGCCAATAGATATGCATATATATCATTACATAAAGAATTCTTCGGTTCTTTATCTCATCACGGCAGGCTTATATATATTACTTTCACCGGCAAAATCTTATATACTAAATAATGCACATTCACCACAGTGCAAACATCGTAATTGAAAAATTCAAATTTTAAACATAGATATAATTGTGTATAAAAGAGAGTGTTAGAAAGCCGACGAAACTGGCAGTTGTCGATATTGACATATAGCAGAGGCACACGCGTAGAAACTAAGCACCTACAGATTGAAGTATTCTTCGTCACTGCTTAAAGGCTCCCTTTATTTTAAAAAATCAAGGAAACATGACGAGTGCAGGCAGCTTATCGATTTGGAGCAAACGTTATCGTAAACAAATATTGGTAACGGTTGTAGGTGAGTTTGGTTACAGAAGTAATTCAAAATTATTGGTGAGGCTCTCAGTGAAGTGATTAAAATTTCCTTAACACAGTACACACAGTATTTGAAAATTATTTTTAAATGCAGATTATTTCGAACAGGACAATGAATTATGCATTGTAAGTGAGATTTCTTGAACTTATTCCAAGGAGACTAGTATGTTTGGATTTCATGTTAGAAAAGTGCTTGCGAAAATACTGTCCTTTGGTCTAGCAACATAGAACTGACTCCAAACACAAACTGCGGAAAAGTATAACTGTGAAAAATTCTCAACAAAATTGTTTGCTTAATATAATTTAATTTCTTAGCTAGTATTTTTTAGTGAGTGAAACAGCCCCCAAGTCGAAAACTAATATCTACCAAGAATTGGGTATGCTCTGGTCAAAGTTAAATTTTCGATGGAATATTTTGGAATTATAGCTTAAATAATATCTTATAACAATTAAATATAACTTTTATGCGAATTAATATTTTCCGCAAACAAATGTGACGGCTGCCTTCAATAACCTATCTCTTTTCCCACATTGTGTCTTCTTTCTAGCTCACATTATAACATTTACACATGGCATCAGCTTGGGTTGGCTTTCTCCCATTATACAAGTTTTACAATCGCCCGATTCCCCGCTGAGCTTCACCATTACAACTGAACAAGTCTCCTGGATTGGTTCACTCTTTGGTATTGGCTTTTTGGTTGGCAATATATTTTTTGGACTCACACTAGATCGACTAGGAAGGAAACTTAATATGTATTTGCTGGCTATTCCGCATATGGTGAGTATAATACGAATTTACTTAGTGGGTGATATACAATATAAAACTTAAATTTTCATTTATTGCATTAATTAGAGAGGAATCGATTTTAATTTGTTTTGATAATTCGAATCATTTTAAAAGCTGAACTTCTCCAAAGTCTTGTTAAATTTTTTCCAAGATCTTAAATCTTGTTATACGTCCGACTTTTCTATTTAAACTCAAACAAGTCTTCAGCTTTTGAGATGTTCGAACAAAATTTGCTTTGTAAGTGAAGACTGGACGTCTACTCATATATCATACAGATCTCATACACCTTTTATCGCTCTTATCTAATACTGGTTTGTCTTGTTTTAACCGCCACAGCTCTTTTGGATCTTGAGTTATGCAGCACAGAGTATCAATTATCTGTATGCGGCACGTTTCTTTGCTGGCTTCACTAGTAGTGGCATGTATGTGGTGATACCAATCTTCATTAGCGAGTTATCCGACAAGGAGTAAGTATAACTGATACATAAAATTTTTTATTTATTTAAATATAGAAATATCGAAAAAACTTAATAGTCCTAAGGCAATAAAATGTTGATTACATTTTAAAAAGTGATAGAACTCGCCGTAATCTTAAAATTCTCTTAGCCACTTTGTAAATTCAAAACTTACGTACTCTACTGGTTCCCTGAAAACAGTAGCTATAACCTACCACACGAATAAGTTTTGATATTTAAATTTACAGAGGTAATAAAATATACTTTGGTATTAATATTTAACATTCAGAAAATTTTGTTACTATTTCGTATTCAGAGTTGATAGTCGTCCTGTTAATTTTGTTACTCGCGAAACTGGAGGCAACAAACAATTAGCTGTTTTTGTGATATTGTGTCGTTCATTTGAAAAAAAGCAAAAACCAAAATGAGTACGCTTATTTTACTTCTAAAAATAATTGAAAATGAAAAAAAAAGTGCAAAAAAGTGATTGTTAAAAAGTTTGCGAGAAAAAATTTGCGCTTTTAATTTGGAAGATAGCGTTTTCATTCAGCTTTTGTTTTTGGGGTCCTGACTTATTTTCCATAATTAGGTTCAAATATTTATAATTTAATAAACAAATAAGTAAAACCTATTTATGCGCACCATCTTCCTTTTCAAAGTGAATGGTCTTCTTTTTACTGTACCAACTGAAAAATGTAATTTGACATGGTCGAAAAAAGCAGTGCTGCCAAAGTTTTGTCAAACAATGTAACCTGTGCGCTAGAATATCAATATCAATTTCGGGTATTAAAAAAAGGTAAAAAAAATTTACTTCACCAGTAACAGTGAGAATAGGCCTGTTAGCCTCATAAAAGTGTGGACGAACAAATGTGCCAACGGATCTAGCACAAGGCACTTTTTGTTGAGTGAGGCTATGGTTAGACTTGTCCGTAGTTGAATTGTCAGATTTATAGCATAAATAAACTTTTCCCTTCATACATACAAACATGCATATGAGAAATAAATGCACTTTTATTGTGCACTATCTAGAAATTCAAAACGAATCTTTCTGAATCTCCCATATGAATAAACAATAAAATGCACTAAGGGGCGTGTTTATTGTATTTACATATAACTAACAATTTCGAAATGGATATATATGTACCTACATATGTACGTGTATGTATGTAATTTCCTTAATTACATCAAACGAGCAGCAACTCGTTTATGGCTGATAAAAAACACTTAGTGACAGAGCAAAAAAAATCAACATGATTTTCGTTTGTTTATAAAGTCAGTTTAGAGATTAAAAGTATTTTTGTCTCATAATTAAGACATAAACCATCAAATTATTTTTAGGTCTTGTGACCAACTCATCTAATCACGTACTATGATATTTTATGACAGCATACACAAATATAATTTTATTAACTGCAATATATTTATATCTAATGCACACGTCATCGTTTTTAATCTAATTTTTGATTTCGAACTTTTCAGAATTCGTGGCGCTCTAACTGCTATGGCTATGGGCTTTCTCAGTACTGGTATTTTACTTGGATATGCGCTGCCAGCATATCTTGATTATTTTCTCGTGCCTTGTATTATAATTTTTCTGCCTATCATTTATTTTATTGCTTGCTTACTCTTTCCGGAAACGCCGCAATTCTTACTCAAACGTGGACATTCGGAAAAGGCTGAGGAATCGTTTAATTTTTATAAAAGCTTACCGAAACGAGAGGTAAATGCGGATCAGAAATATAATAGAGATTTGGAACATTCGCAACCGACCATGCCGATAATCAGCGAATTTGATGAGCTCAAAGCGGCTGTACAATCTGGAGGATTGGCCACACCAATAACCATTAAGGATTTCTGTAAGTAGCAGTCTAAAATGAACTTTTAAACATATATAACAAGTATTAGAGCATTCTTAGTAAAGAGGAGCTTTCAACATAGTCCATGTATTCTACTATACATTTGGCGCCGAATATAAAAACGAAAGGAAACACAGAAGGCGGTTCAAGTGTGCAGATTTCTCCTTCCTCACCCCTCATGCTTCTTCCTTGTATTTCCAATGTTCCAGAAAAGCTTTTTATGTTGACTTGAGATATATTGAAGAAAAATTACTAGGTACAAATAAATAAGGAAGAACTTACTTGGGTCATGCCGAAGTCCTTATATTTCATGGCCATATAAATCATTTAAATTAGTTTTTAGATTAAATATTAATTCTAATAAATTGAAACTTGGTTGGAGCGGCTATATGATGAAAATGCCACCTTTTTTTTTTTACTAATTTTTAATAAATTATGTCTCGGCTTCTATAAATCTTAAAGACTCCTCTCTTAACGCTATTACTTTCAATAGATCCGCGGCCGTGGTAGCCGAGTGGTTAGCATTGCGTACTGACATTCGGAAGAATCGGGTTCATATCCAGGTGCCACCAACATACAAAAGTTATTGAAAATAATTTAAATAAAATTTAAGTCAAATACTGTAATTGCGGTCGCCCCTCGGCATGGAATGTCCACCGCTCCGAGTGCATTTCGGACATGAAATAAATCTCCCCGTAATAAAACCATCAGCCGTTCGGAGACTGCCTAGCATAAACTGTAGGTTCCTCCATTTGTTGGAAACACATCAAGACGCGAAACCACAAATTGAAGGAGGAGCGCGGCCGAAAAAATTATATATTTATATATATATATGTATATATATATATATTGTATAAGCTTAAATCGGACTAATCTGAAAGCTTTCAACTAATCAACTATTTAGTTTAAATGTTACCTATTAAAAGGCGTTATCGTTATCGCAGCCCAAGATCGACCAGCAGGTTATGTCGATTTTTCAAGGTGCACTTGAAAGGAATCTAACCATTTTATTTTTTTTGCCTAATTGCTTCCTTTGCATAAGGATCATCCAAAACAAATCGATTTCAAAGAAATCACTGTTTCTGTTTTTAAGACTCTTGAAGATTTATAAAAATTTTCTATTTTTTCCCCGATTTCTTTTCAGTCACAAAATCTGCGATGTTTAAATTTTTCACAGCCTTCATTGTGTGCATTCTCAATCAATTCTCCAGTAGTTTTGTCTTTGTTAGCTATATGTCAGCGATTTTTACTTCATCCGGTTCGTCAATGGATCCCAACGAATGTACCATCTATATGGGCGTAGTAGAGATAGCAGGCACCGTGACATCAACCGTATTGGTAGAACGTTTTGGTCGGAAGGTATTGTTGCTTTCCTCTACTGCTACCATGGCTGCATCCATGTTTGCGTTCGGCATTTTTGTGCAATTCACTGATGAAGCGACAAAGACACAATACGATTGGGCGCCATTACTATTAATGGCTTTGGTGGTATATACAGCAGCTTTCGGCATTGTTGGATTAACTTATACAATTATTGTAGAGATTTTGCCAGCAAAGGTAAGTAGTTAAGATCGTATTTAATTTTGTATAAGATGTATAAGAAATTGGAGTTTAAGGGACAATTGAAAAGTGTTATCATTAGGGAATTATAGAAATTTTAATTGAAATACTTGTTTTTAACAGACAACAGAGCCTTGAGGAAGACATTTCAGAACAAATTAGACCCTTTATATAATTCCCATAAATTTAAATTGATGTTGGAATAAATTGTTATGCAGTGCGGCAGCATAAAACAGATTTGAGATATAGATACACATGCATACATAAAATCATCAAAAAATCATCAGAAATTCATTAAGGAAAATTATGAAAAATAATTGAGACGTGGAGTAGTGAATACAGACATCAAGAAGTTAATCGATTTAAACTATTTCGAGGTTTTTGCTGTGGAAACCATTAGCCATTTTCTGTTGTTACGGTGATATACGAGGACCTACCCTTAAAGTATGATAAAACTTTCAGCTGTTTCCATTATTGACTTGTCTGTGACAGCTACTGCAGTTGGAAGCGTTCTATGAGCTCGGCGATATTCGTTTGTCAAAGAAATAGATCAAAGAAATCGTATCAAATTTTGCGCAAAAATTTACTCAAGTGTAATAAAATATTTAAAAAGTTAACAAAGGCCTATGTTGAATATGCTATGAGTAAAGCCCCGGACGCCGCAATACTTTAACAACTGATTAATATGTCACCGTATCTTAATTAAAGAAGACCATGTGAAAAGTGCGGTCTGTCGATGTTCCACCAGGTCAAATGGTCAAAAAACAGTACCTCAATGCAGTTTGTGGGAAGCAAACCTAAACAAAAAGACCGAATTTGGGAGAAGCGGTTGAAGACTTTTACATCGCGATACTGCACTTTCTGGGACCTCATGGGCTTTCAGAAATTTTTGCTACAAACAATATTGTAATGATGCCACAGCCTCCATATTCACATGACATCTTGACACACTTTCCCATTTCCAAAACTAAAGGGAATCTTAAATAATCATCGTTTTAGGGCCGTAGTTTACACTAAAATTCAATTCAATATAGACAAATTATTAAGTATTTTATTTAAAAAAATATAATTCTTGTTATCTTTTGAACACACTTCGCATATTCATAACGAAAAATTATAGACGCAAGAAACTAAAGAATTTGAAACGTTTTTTTTTCAAATTGTGACTACCCGAAATTATTTTATTAAAATCTGTATTTACTAATCATTTACTTATTATTCCATTAGATTCGTGGGCAAGCTCAAGCCATCTGCATGATTTTTATGAGTATATGTGTATTTGGCGCACTACATCTGTATCCAATGTTCCTTTACAACTATGGACTGCCAATAACAATGTACTCCTGCACAGGAGTTTGCATTGTCTGTGGGATTTATTTGTTAATTTTCCTAGAAGAGACAAGAGGCAAATCAATGGAACTAGACTAGATAATCGTGCACTGAAGGGAATAATACGCCAAAGAATCTCTGGCAAAATGTTTAATGCATTCGTTCTAGATGCGAAGAAAATTTTTTATATAATATATTTCACTTTTACAATTTATTTTCTATGATAAAAACAAGTGAATTTAACCGTATTTAAACTAATATTTAGTTTTTTCGTAAATAAAAATTTGGTAAGCAAATTTTTACCCTCACATCTACTGCATTAACTGATTGATTGGCCGATTTAGCAAAAAAAAAAAGATTTCAAATTATACGTGTGCATATAAAATGAATTGTGCATATGAGGATAGGATAATTGACTTTCATGTATGTATATGTGTGTCTTGACACAGCTTTATGGTTCTACACTTGCAATAGAAACCCATTAACTCATTGATTCCTTTGCTTTTTAACGAAGACATTCATACGAGTATGTATGTATGTATTTCGGATTTCGGTCAATTCAAAATTACTACAAATTTAAACTACTGCACGATTATAATAAATGATGATCGCTGATTTGTTGCTGCTGTTTTATATCGGTCAGCAGTGTTTGTAGTGCTTCGAGAGTTTCATGTGGCTCATGCATGTGTTGCAAATGGTCGGAATCATTGGCGAAGGCGTCAATCAGTCATTTAGTCAGCCACCAACGTTTGTAGCCAATTCGCGAGCAATAGGTCATGGGGATGATGATCATGTCGAAAACGTTAATCGAGCAAAAAGAAAAGAAAATAAACGAAAAATCATAAATAACACCACCACTTATCGGCCGCCCTTTCGGACAATGTACATACGTACTTACATATGTATATATGATATATATGATAATGTAAAAACTCATTAAAAACTAGAAATATTGGTGGAGTAGCACTTCATTACAGCAAAATGTTGCATAGTGGGAAAGCACCGAAAGTATGTTGCTGTAGTATTATGCATATATCTTAGTGGGTGGCGGTCGTTCATCACTCTAAGCTGATGGTGCAAATGTATAAATTTGTTCAAATTGCCCATGTATTGGCGCACCTTTTGGTATTAGGATATCAGATTGGTGTTTCCAAGTAGAGTTACAAAATTATAACCAATGTTTTTGATTTTGCATTTTATTGCTTCACAAGGCATTGTGCATCGCGAAATGGTAAGATAAAACAATACCGGGCTGGATATTCGAAATAAAATTAAATTAATTTTAATACTACTGTCGGCTACCTTTGAAACTAGATTCCAACTTTCATATTTTCTTAAAAAAAATCGTTTTTAGTTGTAATATAATTTAATACGAAATAAATAATAATAAATAATTTACAAACACTTTGTGATAAACTATTTCTTTAGCGAGAAGCTGTTTATGTACATACGAGGTGTGACAATTAAGAAATGAAACTGAGTCCATAAAAACCATATATTTAAAAATTATTCTACAACTCTGCCATCCCCTTTAAAGTAATTTCCTTGAGCAATACAAAATACAACGGCGCGTTTTCCATGCTTCGTAACATTTATGGAATGCTTCGGCTGGGATGTCAGCGTGTACCTACGTCACAGCCGCTTGGATGTCCTCAATCGACTCAAAATGGGTTCATTTGACCCCATGTTCTAGGGAACAAAAAAGTCACTGGGAGACATGTCGGGCGAATAAGGCGGTTGTTGCAACACGGCGAGCCCTTTAGATGCCGAATACTGAGGCACACTGAGGGCGGTGTCTGGGCACAGCCTGTTGACTCGTTTTCGCCATCTTTCGAGTACTTGGCGGTAGTAGACTTGATTAACGATTTGCTACGGTGAAAGAAATTCGTGACGAGCACTACGAACGCACGCTTACTCAACAGGACACAGCAGGCAAACTAAACAAGCTGGAGCGATGACAAATATATCAATGAAGAGGAGAAGGATGCCGGAAGAAGGAAAAGGTCGCAGGGTTACCACAATCTTGGCAATATATCCAGTCTCACTACTTGATTGTCATATCTCGAATATCAGTTTTTCTTTCTGCATACTGGCTTGTACTAGGCGTTTCTAAGCGTTTTTTTTTATATTGTGTTTTTATTTATTAATTATGTGATTGTGTAAGTATTGAAGCAAGACGCATCTGCAGACAAAAAGGAAAGATGCCGACGAGAGTAATGTTCGAAAATTTTACGAAAAGATATGGAGACTTACAGAACGTTTCACGATCGGATCAAACTCTTATTAAATTCATGGGCAAAACACTTTTCCAGCCTGCCGTATGGCAGTAAAATGAAATACTTCGGAGATGATGAACCCGAAATGACGATGGAAAATACATTCCATTACCCGACCATGACGAGCTTAGAATAACTTTGAACCGGCGGTGAAGAGTCGAATGCAATCGAGATTTCAGACAAGGAAGCGAAGGATGTGGGCTGGAGCAAACAAAAAGTCCTTGTATTCACGACTCGCGACTGCCATGTCACTCTTACTATTCATAATTTTGAAGTCGTAAATATCTTCACCTATCTTGCATTGGGAACGGCGAATACCCCCAATGTAACGATGAGCTGTACGAGATATGCGGTGACAATGACATGGTTCAGCGAAATAGAAAACGGCGGTAATACTGGCTAAATCATGTGAGTCGCATGGGTTAGATTACCCGCCGGTATGAACAGGCAAAAACTGCAAAAAGAATAAATGAATGGCACAATGTTGTTAACTCGGCTATAATCGCGTAAGCGGTGTCTACGCTAGTGAAAAAGAAGAAGAAGTGTAAGCGGCATAGAACTTACTTACTTAGAATACGCTATGAGAACTATATTTTGAAATGAGATTATGGTGAGTTCATTCTAGGCCATCGAAAAATGTAATATTCGAGTGGTATAAAAAAAGAACATAAAATAATCAACAAGAGCCTTTAACTATCGCGCCTTTAGAGCGTCCGATTGTCTAACATTTCTTTTTATTTTATGCGCATACATGCCACTGAAGTATGATAAACTTTCAGCACGGTGATGTTGGTTTAAAACAAACGTACTAAAGAATTTGTATCAAGCCTCAGTTACGATATATGTTTCACTAGCCCCTAGTTTCGTCACCTGTTACAAAGCAGTGTATGTGCTACTGCATTGTATATTTGTATTTAATTTCACGCTACTTAAGTTCATGTCCTGTCTAAAATTTTTAAATTTCAACAACTAAAATCTCATTTTATTAGTTTTCTTTATTTAAAATAATTTTCTATTTATTTATTGCAAATAAGGGTGAAATTAGGTGGAAATGGAAAACTTTTAATCCCTTTTTGAAAAGGTAGTAAAAATACATTCAGAATATATGTAAATGTTTTCAGGATGCAAACTTCGTGCGAGAGTAAAAATATTTGGCGTAATTGGTACAATTGAATAGATCAAAAGTTCATGCAACAAATACTCCACCTTTTTGAACATAAAAATATTTTATTCTTACACATTTTTCCTAAAAGTTTAATATATTCATTAAGGAAATTCGCCGCTCACCTTGTCCGAGTCTAGCATATGACTTTTTAATGACCTCATAGGTTCTGGAAAACATTCACAAAACATTGTCGTACAAGTTTTTCCTAATCCTAATTTCCATCTAAAGGTCTTATACTTTATCAGTTGCCATATTTGTGGGCCTAAAAATATTCTCTAGAGTTTCGGTACAACAATACTATGTAGCATGGGGTTCCTTTGCCGAAGACAAGATTTTTGGGTGGATAGTGTGTTCGGACTTGGTTGTAATACCTTTTGTTCGTGTCAAACAAAAATATCACTTTTTTGACTCCGTCCAAATAATTGGTACAGCAAATGCCGAAACCTAGATTTATTTTTAGCACAACATAATGGAAGTCTAAAACAAAGCATTTGTGAGGAACTCAAGATTTATCTTGTTTCCACACAGGAAATCCAAAATAGTCTGAATAGCACTGGTCAAATAATGAAATTTCCAAGCTGAGATTCAAAACGGGTGCCCAAAAAGGGGGTCGGTGCGTCACCATGAAACGCGAAAGTAGCTTATTTCTCTAACCTTTAATTAATCCATCATGATAAAAAATAAAGAAGTGCCCCACTTTTCCGAAGAAAAAAATTTACAGATAAATATTATTTTTATAAATTTTAACAGTGTTTATTAGAACTTAGTATTTTGATACAAATTTCAATAGAAATGTAAGCATGCATGTATGCAAACTGATTTGTATTTTTTTAGTAACTTCGATGACTTGTAAAATTGTGTTTTCTTATCAGCGAGTTCAAAGGTCCAGTTAACGTTGCAGCTACCAGGCAGCGAACAAAGTGGCCTCCTGCTTCCCATTGTCCTCCTACAAAGTAAAGGCCGTGGAAGCTGCAAAACTGTTGACTGGTTGCAATCAATTGCTTGTCTCCAAACTCAGGTTGCAAACTAAGAGTAACGACTGCACCGTTTGTCGTGTTGCATTTATGTAACATTGTCCACGTGTACCGGCATTGTGCACCGCAATTGGCGACTGCATATTTTTTTGGTATTTCGCCAATATTTCCTTTTGACTTTTTTCGAACAAACTCTTTCCGCCTTCTTCGCAGTGCCACTGCAGCGAGTGCAATGGTCTCGTCTATTTTCAGTTTTATTTCTACAACATTACGTAGATGTATGTATGTATTATATATGTATGTATATGTAAATAATAATGGCTAGCGCCATCAAAACCGTTTGTATGTTAGTGAATTTGTTCAACGTTTCTCCATTTTAACTTTCTTCTTTGTGATATTTTTTGAGATTTTATTTTACTACTTTACCTATTCCTAATCGTTCGTGTCAAAAGTGTAATTTCATATTTTTTAAAGTTTTTCCCGTTACCTTGTTCCCTTTGTGTCTACTTTTTAGTTAGATAATTGTGGAGAGCAATTTTGATGGATTTAAATTTTCCGCATCGTGATGGCAGTTGGTAAAAATACCTAAAGCGACGTGGTATGCTGCTTTTATAATTTATAAAAAAAAATTATAAAAGATAAGTAAATAAGTACGAGCACTAAAAGTTCTGCTGAAAAGAATAGAATGCCTTACGTATTTATTCGTAGTCTTTGTCCTTATTTTATATTCCTAATTTTATATTCTCTACATAATCGCCATTGATTTCAATGCATTTCCT